ACTTAACTAAATGGTAAACAGATGGTACAGTGTAAGCCAACCAAGATACTCAACATGCTTTAAACACAATGAAACAAAGCAACCTGGCAAACCAAGGTCAGTTTGCTGAGGTGGATATCTTGAAATGGACCGAGTCCAGACGATAATATTTGCAGAAATTATTTACTGAAGTTTTCATTAAAATCCAGCCAGTGGTTCTTGAGATATTTTGTTCACATGGAAAACATATGAAGACCTGCATGTAAAAACACAGGAAAAAAACAATCATCCCTTCAAAGAGCATGATACAAACTGCTATCATCTTTCGTGTAGGATACAGGATGAGCCAAAAAGGTGAGGAAGAAATTTTGTATTTTAAAGTTGAAAAACAACCACAATGACTCAGTTTAGCCATTCGAATATTACTATCCCATCATTTACTTTAGTGCTTACGTACATTCAGACAAAAACCTCATCACGCATTAGAAATCAGTCTCGTATTTTTGTATTCAGTCCTCTGAGCAGCATGTTTCACTGCGTGTATGATCCAGCCTCCAAACTTAATTCTATTATATAATTTTGACACATTAAGAGTGTTATTTGTTAGTTTTATTAAACTCAATTCTGTTTAATGATTAATAAAAAATATATAGAGTGAAATTTGTATTTGTGATGCTGATTAAATGAACATTCTAAATGTTGTGACAATTAAGTAGGTCAACTGTTGGCTAAATATGTAATGAATGGAGTACTGAGTCTCACTGAAAAGCTCAACACAGGCGAAGTTTTAAATTGTTTATTTAAAAAGGAGATGCTGGCTCGGGATCTGAACTTCACTGGAAGCAGGAGATCTACACACAGGAAAATAAGGTTAACAGCAGGCCAGGTCGTAGGNCCAGTTCTCTGAGTGAACTGGGTGGTTCTCGAGTGGCTAGTTCATCCTTAATGTCATCATTCAGAGCTTGCCAAAAAATGTCCTGGAGCGCCTCGTCATTCCACCTGCTGTCAGTTGCCAGGGTATGAAAATCAATAATTAATTCCGTTACCCTTCTGCTGCCTTGTCTTAATTTTAAGAGGCCCCTGGTGGCCTCTCTCTGGGGAAGTACAGGATTAAAGACCCGGGTTAATTCTGATGCAAAGTCTTTAAATCTATGACAAATCAAGGAGTCTCTTGCCCATTCAGAAGTTCCCCAAATCTTAGCTTTACCAGATAACAGTGAAATAACATAAGCAACTTTAGAACGTTCTGTAGGGAAAGCAGTGGGTTGCAATTCAAATTGTATTTCACATTGAACCAGGAAGGGTCTGCACTGAGCAGGATCACCATTAAAAACCTCTGGTGGCGTTAGTCTTGGTTCCTTTGARGCCATGGTTTCTGAGTGTGATGTCCCGGATTGTCCAGCAGGTGGAGCCTGGGAACTGTGGTTTCTGTAAGCAGACGTGAGTAATTGTTTGATACCAAACAAAACAATATCTTCGCTTCTGTCAAAAACTTGCTGTGTTGGCGTGAGACTCTGTCTGGCCAGATCTGATGTAATGAATGGAGTACTGAGTCTCACTGAAAAGCTCAACACAGGCGAAGTTTTAAATTGTTTATTTAAAAAGGAGATGCTGGCTCGGGATCTGAACTTCACYGGAAGCAGGAGATCTACACACAGGAAAATAAGGTTAACAGCAGGCCAGGTCGTAGGGGCGACTCTTATTTTGAAAAGACTCACTAACCTTCTGAGAGTGTGTCGCTTCCGGGATCTGAATCCGCTTCCGTGTTTACGTAAACAAACCCAACGATGCTTGGAGGGTAGAGGGTAATCCAGGTCACAGAAACGGGTCATACACTTGAGGTCAAAAAACGGAGYTTTGTTAGAAACAGAAGMCTTAACTCTTGGTCGGGAAAGGTTTGCGTGGGTCGATGTCCGTGGGTCCGATGGCTGAGCAGAATACAAGAGGGCAGAGACAAGAGGCTGTGATTCAAAAACGAGAGCAGGGTTCGTTACCAGGTAATCCGATGTCCAGAAGGTACCAATGGGGGCTGAGGCGAGAAACAATAATCCRAGGAATAGAAACAGGGTCGAAACCGGGGAGACAAGGCGTGACATGAATGCTGGATTATTACTTGACATAAGTCGTTCACAGATCTGGCGCTGAAGCAGTGAGTGAGAGGAGCTTAAATACTGAGCGGAGCAGGTGAGTGTCATGACATTGATTACTAAGACCCAGGTGAGAGGAATGAAGTATTTAATGGGTGATGGCTTGACGTGATTCATGACAAAATTATCTTAATGAGGTCTTTTCATGGACTGGCAACTTGTCCAGATTGTACCTCACTACTATCTGAGACCCTAAATGACAAACAAGAAGGGAAAATGTATCTAAGGATGCTAATAGCCATTTTGTTCATTTCTTGTTTTTGCCACGCAAGTCAAATGTTTTTCCAGATTGCCGAAAAGTCTGCAACAAATATCAATCTATTCACAGCTACACTCCAAGACAAAAAGGAGACTTGAGTTTATAATTCGGTAGTTTATATATAGCTTCCTTATTTTTGTTCCAAGAACAAAAATCATTGGTCACTGGGGCCCAATTGTTAATAATGGTACTTGTAAATCTTGTGGAAGTGTATAACAGAATAAAAAGTAAAGAATGGTCAAAAAGCTATTAAACTAGTTCAGTCATAGACCAAAATCTCTATAATCCTGATCAAAAAAAGACTGCTAGTGTCTATAAAAAGTATTCATCCATTCAGATGTTTTATTATGTTATTGCTATCATAAGTCAATACAAATTGGCCTTTTGGCAAAAAAAATATGAAACCATACTTGATTACAAAGTCAAAAACAAATTTCTACAGGGTGATCCCAATTAAACAAAAACATGTAATGTAAAATATGTGACTGTTAAATATTCACCGCCTTCAAAGTGACTGTACTAATTCAACCCAGAGAAAAGATTATTGAAAAGTACAGGTCAGGTCGTGGGTACAAAAGGATCTTCAAGGCCAACACCCGCCAGGAGTTCTGTTAAATCCATCATAAATATTGCAGCAATATTCAACGTGTGTAAATGTATCGATGGCAGGTTGTCATCACAAACTGAGTGAGGAGAATATTGAGACCACCAAGATACCTGTGACTCTGAAAGAGTTACAAGCTTCACCTTCATTTTGCTCTCAGCTCCTTTATTTGGGCATAAAAGATTGATTGTGTACTACAGTATGTGCCACTTTACTTGCCCAAAACACTTTTGAGAGTAGCTTTGCATGTTTTAAATTAGCAGCATCTGGAAATCAGGAAACTAGAAGTGAAACCTTGTCAGCATCCTCGTGTCAATAAACTACACTGAAAACTCAGGAACACAGAACCCCACTTTACAGTCTTCTTCTGCACCCACTCGCTCTTTTGCAGAGATCTTGTTGTGCAATTTTCTTACAGGATGAATTTCAGAGCACAGATGAACACTTTCACACACTTTGGCATTACATGAAAAGGGAAAAAAGGAGCATAAACACTTTGTTGTATCATTTACATTTCCTCTCGCAGCAACAAGTGAAAAATTCAGCGTATTCAGAATACAGACAGCAACACTTTCACAGATGGGCTGACAGGAACTGAACTCAACTTTGTTTGATTTCTCTTTAAAACTGAGACAGTGAGAAGAACACGAGGAAGACTGGTGAAAGACAATCATTTCTTTCTGCAGCAGTATGTGCTAAGTTTGTTTGAAGTCCAGCTTCAGTGGCTTTTTCCAATACTTCTACACAAAGTTAAGGATTGTTACAAAAAATACACAACTTTTGTCCAAAATGTCTCTTGCTTGAACAAAGCTACTAAAATTCAACAGATTTAACCTCACTGGACACTTTATTAGGTACACCTGTCTAACTGCTCATTAACACAAATGTACAATCAGCCAATCACATGGCAGTAACTCAAGCACGTAGACATGGCCAAGATGATCTGCTGCAGTTCTAACCAAGCATCAGAATGGGGAAGAAAGGTGATTTAAGTTACTTTGAACATGGCATGGTTGTTTGTGCCAAACGGGCTTGTCTGAGTATTTCAGAATCTGCTGATCTTATGGGTGTAGTGGTCACCTCGAGGTGGAATGAACCGTTCAACCTGTCTTTGACCCTGACCTCAGCAGACCTCCCTCAAAAGAGACATTTTATTATGACCCCCGCATGCGAAGCGTAAGCGGGAGTCATATTGTTTTCATACTGTTTATTTTTTTTCAGTGATTTTTGGTCAACTGTAGCACAAAAATGACTGCACCAATCAATATGAAATTTGGCAGGGTTGCAGATGAGTCCGACCTACACTGCACCAGCTAAAGGTTTTACGATAGACCCCATATTTGAGGAGGGGGCTCCTTTCAAAGAGGGGGTGACAGGACATGCAAAAACGCTTATAACTCAGAAACTGTTCAACATACGAGATTCAGATTTTTTTTTGTTGTTTAGCTCTATCCATCAGGCCCACCAATCAGTGCCCCCCTCCCAGACCCCCAATTTATCTGAAAAGGTGGTGTCTGGAAATGCAAAAATGCTTATAACTCAGAAACTGTTCAACATAGGAGTTTCAGATTTCTTTTGTTGTTTAGCTCTGATGAAGCTCTATCCATCAGGCCCACCATCAGTACCCCCTCACCCCCCAATTTATCTGAAAAAGGGGTGTCTGGACATACAAAAAGGGTTATTGCTCAAAAACTATTAAACATAGGAGCTTCAGATTTCTTTGTTGTTTAGCTCTAATGAAGCTCTATTCATCAGGCCCACCAATCAGTTCCACTTTATGTAGACGATAACTGAACGATTTAAATGTGAAAAGGATTTAAAAGCATATGTCTCTTTTCATATGCTTCTGGAAAACAGAAGGAAACTGGAGGAACAGAAAAAAGTAATACTGTACATGACCAAAAATAAACAAGTAATGAAAGATTAGGTGTTACTAGATCACTTCAACAAGAAAAACAAACAAATAAAACTTGGTGTAAAATAAATCTTCAGTAAGGAATTCAGCTACTACCTTCATGACAATGAAGAGGACCAGCGTGACGAAGACGTTGACTTCTGGGTGTTTCCAGGCTTGAGCACTTCCAATATAATCAAACTCCTCAGCGATGCCCTGTTTGGCCCACGTTCGGTTGTCCAGTAGCGTCACTAAAGACTCCTTCTGGGTCAGCTACAGAACACAGAACAATCACAATTAAATATCAACAGCAGGAAGCAGCACAGCTCTCTTAAATTATCAAAGGAATAGATTTTATCTTGTGCACTAATAGCCTCAGTGCTTGCAAAACACAGCAGCACAGGGGATTTTTGATAAAGACAAATTGTGCTAAAGCAAACAACTGTCTTCTGTAACAAAATAAAGCAAAACAACACTAAGTAAAAAAATGCTTGAAATATTTGTTTTAACGACTAAAAAAATGTTTGAGTGCAGTTTGAAACACTTAGATGGCTCGACTACTTTCAATCCATCATAAAAATTCTTTCCAAAACCTGAATATCATTTACTGCAGGTAAACGTTTAGAGTTACCAATTAAAGGAGACATTTCATACTAAATGCACTTTTTTGTGTTTATAAACTATTTTTTGTGCAATTATAGTGTCTAGGAGTGTAGAAAAGTTTAATTTATTCTGTCCAGTTACTGCAAAGATATTTTATATTATTTTTTTGGTCAAAATTTTCAGTTAGTTCAAAATCTTCTGTTACTTATTTTGTTTTATTGTTTGTTTCGTCACAATTTTTTCTTCAGAACTGCCATTTATGGAATGTATTTCCAGCCAACTCAGTTTCATAGTCCGCCATTTTTCCCCCCTCGCAGTGATCTTGTAGTTCAAATACTGTCATGCCGAAGGTGCAAGAGCCGCGATGAGTTGAGTATTACACTGAAGTGGATCTGGGGGTTTGGGGTGTTGGTCCCGGTTTCTGGTGGCCTTCGGGGCTCCGTCAGTCCATGGTCTGGGGTTCCGTGGGCTTGGCGGTCTGCCTGGAGGGAGAGGTAGTTGGGCTGCTCTTCCTGGGTGGGTTTAGGGGAACGGGAGGGCTTACTGGGGCCAGCGGGGGAGCTGACTCCCTGTGGGAGCATTTTGCTCCTTCAGCTTATTCTCCCCATCCCTCACCACACACCTCCATTGTCTTCACTTTCAACTTCACCCACAGTTTTTTGGGGCACAATTGTGTTATAAGAGCAACACTATTACATTTCTATTTGCCATAACCACCTGGGCCCCAAATTTTATTGTACATCTTAGACATTCACTCATAACATTTTCAAGACATTCACATATAGGAACTTAAGGTGGGCACTCATAGCTATAGGTGGCCGGATGGCACCACTCTCGCCTCCTGTGCCTGTGCCCATCCCCCAAGGTTTGCATTTAGACACTTAGGGTTTTGGGTTAGAGTAGTGGTGGAGGGGAAACTGGCACCACGCTGGCCTCTGCCTCTTCTTCTTTCCTTTTTATAATTGCTCTATAGAACAACACGCACCAACAGTACATCTGGGGGTGTGTGTGTGTGTGTGTCAGGGTCTTTATTCCCATCCCGTTCCCCGACTGCCATTTGGGGAGGGGGTCCTGAAGAAGGGCGGGCCGCCGGGTGATGTCCTGGGCTGTGGGTGGGCTCGGGGCTTGGACAGTTGCCGGGGCGGGGCTGGCTC